CAGCCAGCCATGCTGGCTGGGGGATTCTGGGAGTTGAAGTCCACTCATCTTAAAGCAGCCAAGTTTGGACAACACTGCAGTATTTGATATGGGGTCTGACCAAAGTAGAATAAATTCAAATTATTGCTCATCTTGACTGGCAACAATACTCTGGTTGATGCAGCCAAAATTATATTTCCTTCTTGTTTGGGGGTTGTTGGTTTTTTTTTGCACCATATTGTACTGCTGACTCATGTTCCATTTTTAGTCAACCATGATTCCAAAATCTTTTTTATTATTAAGGTAGATATTCCCCATTGTATATAAATGCATTTCAGTTTTATTTTCGGAGTGGATAATATTACATTTTTCTCTGTTAAAAGTTCATTCTGTTCTATTCATTCCATTTTTTCCAACATATAATGTATTGATTGATTTTTATTTTTCTTCCTTCAGACTCTCTTAGATAAGAAGGGAAGAAGGAGGCTTTTATTTTACTGATATATTTTTTTTTTTTGCAGGGAGGGAGGCTGGTTCTCAGATTTATTCAATTTATTTATTAGCAGCTTTGTTGTATAAATAATTCAGAGCTGCAGAAGAGACCTGTCTCCTCCCTGGTGCACAGTGGTGCTGTGAGGAAAAAATGACATAGGGAGTCTTTGTCCTAATGTACGCAGAGATATTGGCTCTGTATTGAAAATAATTCACTTGTTGGAATTCTTGTATCACTACTGCTTTCATCTTAATAAAGCTTGCAAATACAACTTTGGGAGATTTGTGTTTGGGGGGAAATCACTCCATTCAGGCAGCTAGCAAAAGTCTGACAACTATGCTCTGACATCAGTGGTCACAGCAGTAGCAGTGGCTGAGGGAAGGGAGAGAAGAGAAGGCACTCCGCATATTGGGAGCAGGTGGGCCAGTGGAATACACTTATCTGGGGCCTTGGCAGTGGCTGATGGAAGGGAAGGGAAGGCATTGGGAGGACCAGAGGATTGGCAAACCGGTAGGATACGCTGCTCCGGAAGCAGCTGAGAAAAGGGAGAGAGGTGATGATGCACATCAGCCCGCTTGCTGTAAAATTGGTTCTCAGGTTTATAAGTCAGGCAGCCATTTCCACACAGCCAATAAGTGCAGGCTGCCACTCCTTCACCAAAGAGACAAGCCTCTTCTTGAAGAGCACATGAGAAAGAAGAGCTCTTCCCACTCCATATCGCCCATATATAGGTTTCTGATTTGAAAGTTGGGTACTCATCAGAATTTTTGTTATGTTAACCTCCTTAATGATTTTTATTAATTTGAACTCATACTTGTTCTTGGGATTAATCAGTTCCAGTCCAGGCTGCTGCCAGAAGAGTGTCACCTGCCCCATGAAATCATGCAGGATTCCTCTGGATTTTGTTTCATCCAAACCCAAGCAAATGTATTCTGAGATTTCTATCTACTGAACTTTTTATTTATTTTTATTTATTTTATATATCAAATTTGTCACCGCCTATCTTGTTGAAACGACTCTGGACAGTTTACAGCAGAGATAAAATTCATTAAAATACAATATAAAAACAATCCTAATAATAAATAGCTTCCAAGAAAGATGGAGAGTTGGCAAATAACTTAGGGAGTGTCCTCAGGGCACTAACTACCCCCAGGAACGGTTAGAGCCCATGTCGCCCCATGCATGCTGGCAGAGCCAGGTCTTTAATCCTTTTTGGAAACTTTATTTATTTATTTTGATTTATTAGCCGCCCAAATCCAGTGAACTCTAATTCCAATAGTTGACCCAAAATGGTTTGGGAAAACATCAAGGATTCAATGATTTCTTCTGGACTTGAAAGAAAATATATTCTCCATTTACATTTATACCTTTAAATGTAAATCCAGTAAAGTTGAGATCTAAATGGCAGAATGAAGGAGGGTTTACAAGAGGTGAATGTAAGTAAGAGAAAATGTAATTGATTGCTTTGATTAAAATTGCTTTGCTTAGAAGTCAGAATTAAAGGCTTCAGGCAGAGATAGGTAATCTTTTCATGCAATTGACATCAAATCATGCTTATGGATCTGGGGGCATGGAGGATAGGCACACCTGCCACTGAGCTCAACAAATGAATGCACATTTCCTGTGAGTCCTATAGCTAACCTTCCCACAGGTTAATATACATGGAAATACAAAAATGTTCTCTGTCACAAATGCATAGGCATATATTTATACACTCTTGTTCAGTTTTTTACACAAACAGCCCCTCTCTTATAGGCTTCTTGGAGCCTGAGAAAGCAAGTAACACTTTGCCCATTATTAGCTTAGAACATCTGAATATTCAGGAAAATGGTTAGCTACCTTTCCATCCTCAAATGGTTGTAAGGAAGAGAGCTAAGTTCTACAGCACTTAGTAATAAATTGGGCACTACAATGAAAGGATCCAGTTGAGATCTTTCTAACTGAATCTCTTTTTCCTTGCAATAAGTTTGATGAATGATAACTTTATAAGAATCTTCTTTTCTGCTGTACTTTGCCAGCATTGACAGTGAAGCAAAGACATTTCTAGAACTTTTGCTCAAAAATAAGAATAAAGTTATAGGCTCATTATTCCCCTACTGGTGAAGAGGGAGAAACTCATTCTACTGTGATTGGCAGCAGTGCTGTGGCAATTTTGATCTGCTGGCAAAGGGGAGCAAAACTGGTGAGGGAGGTGAGGCTTCTGGGGTACATAGCAGGGGCCTGGTGAGTTGTGTTGCTAATTGAAAATTAAGGGAAGTGTTTCATCTAGCAGAATTGTAAAATTCGCTTTATATTCTAAACACTTCAGCTCTGCTGGCTAGAAAGAGCAAGTAAGTGAACAGGCAGTCCTATCTGGATGTTCATATGAGGTGTATAACACACAGGTATGGTGCAAATCCTAGACTGGTGCAACCCTTGTGTGTAGAGAGACTTTTACCCAGTTTAGTTTGCTTTGTGGAAAGAATACCAGAAATCCACAGTTCCCTACAAATTGGCTCTTGGTTTGTACTGACATAGCAGTTCTATCTGCTCTGCTTTAAACTCTGTGCTGTAATATCTAGCAACTTAACAATTTGTTTTTCAGGTTCGGCAAGAATTATTAGAAGAATTTGAACAAGTAAAGAGCATTGTCAACACTTTAGAGAGTTTTAAAATAGACAAGCCTACAGATATTCCTGTATCTTATCAAGATGAACATTTTAGAGATCCAACTGTTTGGCCACCTCCTGTTCCAGCTGAGCACAGGTAATTGGGTTTAAATAGGATGGCATGTTTACTTGCTGGCTCTACCAGCTACAGTTTGAGAGAGAAAACAGTATAATGACTGAGAAAAGAGCCATTTTGCCTTACTCCTCCTCCTCACTTTTAAAAATCTGAGTGTTGGCTGTGGTATCGCATCAAACGTTTGAACTATTATTCAGAACTGATATACTAGGGTTGCATTACAAATATAACATTTAGGTCCGTTTTTTTTTCCTGCGGACTGTTGCCATTAGTATGATGCAGTGGTCTCTGAAAGAGGAACTACAGTTATAATTACAGATTTTCAGCTAAGACATTTTACCAAAGTACTGTTATTTTCAAAACCACTTCTAACCATACTTCCTAGATTCTAGTATGCTGGCCTATTGAAAACCTTAATTTAATTTGGACTTCACATAGAACTGTAGCTAACTTTCCTTAGTTATGGTTTGGTACAATGCCTAATTGAGCTTCTGATTCTGATTCTTTCTTGCACCTGTTATGACCAGACTGTGTTGCTAACTCCTCACTGTGATTTTTTTCATCATTTTACTTTTTTTCTAGCATCTGGCTCTGTTTCCACAATTCCCCCAATTTCCTAGTTCCTGCAAGTCTATTGCCATTTTGTGGGGTATGTGTGTGGTTTTTAAGTGCCTTCATATAATTTCTATCATCTTCATCATCATCTGCACATCACTGAAAGGGGATGAAAGGTATTGTGCGGATACAAAGCACTGTGTAGCTATGAGGCAGTGTAGTTCCACCCTCTGCCCCAAAGCATAGTCATACATTGGCTCCTCAGAGATCAACATATGCAGTTTGAACATTAACTTTCCCCCAGAATTGAGCAGCTTTCCTCAGTCTTGAGACCTTCCAAATGTGTGGACTTTAGTTCACCAGAGGTTTCAGTAATGGCTATGCTGCTTGGGAATTCTGGGTGTTGTACGTATGTATCTGGAGGACAACATGTTGGGAAGACTGAAATTGAGTAGGAACACAAGATGGAAATAATCTTGCTCTTGTGTATTTCTTTTACGTGACACAGAATCCCACCTCAGATAAAACGACCCAATCGAGAAGTGAAACCTCTGCGGAGAGAATTGCCAGGATTACAGCGGGGACCTGTGGGCAGAGCTCAACCAATATCAAAAAATGAAAAACCTGCCAGTAGTCGAGAGAGGGAATCTAGAGCAAAAGGGAAAGATGAAAAGGTAAGGCTCTAGAGCAGAGGTTTCAAACTCATTTTCTGTGGCTCACAAGAATACTTAGAGGAAAGAATAACCCCCACAGGGCTCGTGTCTGGTGAGATATAGGCCAACAGAAGGAGGCATTGCTCTCGGCCCATTTTTTGTGATAGTAACATGAGGTGAGAGCAAACTAGACAGAGGGGCTGACAGACAAGGAGGGAAGGAAAGGAAGGGTGCCAGTTTGACTGTAGTCCCGAACAACAGAAAGCACCACCCTCAGTGCACACATACCAGGAGAGCAACTGCTGGAATTAGGGTAGCAGCTTGCCAGTTTCAGCCAGGCACAGGCAGAGACGTACAAAGCTGAGATGTTCACTGGTTCATCACAGATGCTAAGACCAGGGGCTCCAGGCTGAGAAGAAATCTGGTCTGTGCTCCCAGAAAGGGTAGGCCGAGAAGCATCTGCACTCTTAGCCCTGCATTTAGATGGTATCACAGACAGGGCTCTTTCTCACTTAGCTACCACCCTATCAATCACCCCAATATATTATCTAAGTTTAATTTAGAAATAGTCCAGAAACAAGTGAAATAGAAAACTCCCTCCCTCCCTCCCTCCCTCCCTCTAAAAAGGCGTTGTTTAGCTGATTCTGCTTTTACCTGATTTTGTTTTTTGGCTACATATGGATTTTGGATTTTATTGAATTATTTTATTCTACAATGCTCTATGAATTTTGGCTATAGGGTAGCTAATATATCTTATAAAGAAAGAAAGACTAGATCTTGATCTTAAATAGTAATGCATTTGCCAGTGTTGGGTGGATTTGGTCTTGCAAATGGCAGGCATTTATTTTTTGAAACCATACTCAAGGGAAATACAGCCCTCAGAAGAAAAAGGATAATTACTCAGAAAATAATTCTGTTCTGTTTTAATTAAGATGGGTACATCCAAACAGCTCAGAAGTGGCTCTGGAGTGCTGCTTATTTTGTCCTACCCATAATGCTCACATGCCCTTCAGATCTCCTTTCAAATTTCCATATCTCATGAAAGATAACATTAGAAATCCTTGGTATTAATGATAGCTGGTTACTAGTCTTGGTTCCCTCATCCCAGAACTACAATTCCTCGAGTTGTAGCACCCAGGTAATTGTTTAAGAGAAGAAAAGGAAATATAGATGTATAATTTATATGTTGTATTTTGTTTGTTTGTTTGCTTCTAACTTCTTTATCCAGGGAAAGAAGATCCCCCAGGATGGTGGTGGTGACAGTGAAATTCAGAAATTTGATGGGACAGGATATGATAAAGACCTGGTTGAAGCTCTTGAGAGAGATATTGTGTCAAGAAATCTCAGTATTCATTGGTATAGTGCTTCTTTTGTAAAATGAGAGATACTAATATTTATTGTGGATACATATCCAGCAGATGTTGACATGGGGACAATTATTGTGGTTATTTTGTAGTAACGACTGGTATTAAGAAAAACTGAGAAGTTTGTTGCACATTAAAGGTTAATGGTTTTGTAAGTCCTGATGGACTAGTCCAAGTGCAAAACAATCAGTTGAGAGTATAATACATAATCACAACTATTTCTTAAACATCTAGGGTTATTTTGAGGACTTTGGATATCTTTGCAGCACTTATCTTGTCTGAAAAGGATAGGACGATTTTTCATAGATCCATGATATTTAAAATAATTTAGGAGTCCTAAGTCACAGCACATCTTTGTCAAAAGAAGATCAGATTGGCATAGCCTTTTATCAGCTAAAATGCTTTGAGAAGTTTGTATGTTGAGAGCATGTTATCCTGAGAATCTTGTCTTCTAAATAAGAGAAGCATGTATACTAGAATTTTTAGATTTGGAAAATATCCTACTGATATTTATCAATAGCAACTCTATATCATTACATAAAAGTGTAATGATGTTAAATTATATTTTAAATGTATTATTACATATTGTTTTATGAGAGATTATGATGTTATAAGCTGTTTATACAGCCATAAAAATCTACTTGGAGAAATCTGCATGTTACAGATGCCATATGGAGTTACTTTTGTCTTGAAGCATTATAGCTCTTCACAAGGCACCCATAATAACATAATAATTACTGTTAAGTCTAGATGGGATCATAGAAGTTTGGAGTTGGAAAAGAGTTGAAAATATCTCAAATAACATTCCCAGAAATGTCTTCAATTTTCAAGTTGTTTTAGCTGCTAAGGCAATATTGAGGTCTCTGGAAACATTGTCTGCAAATTCTTACAGCCATTGTGATGTTATCTAAGTTAGCAGGTAAGGTATGTAATAAGATGAAGACCTAAAATCACTATCTTTCATCATCATTTCCCATATTATTCATTTTCTCTGAAGATCACACAGTGCTGGGCTTTATATTTTTTTAGAAGCTCACTGAAAAGTAGCAATTCTGTCATTTGAACATTCTGTATGTGATCCAGCTTTTCTTCCTATTCAGTCTGCCTGCCCCTAAAATAACAGTATCATCTTAATTGTCTCTAATCTGCAAAACCATTGCCAATTTACTCATTTATTGGATCCTGGGCTGCAGCTATAGCTACTTTCCTGTCCTTGACTAAAATAACTGCTATGACTAAAACATAGGTAATTATTGAAAGACTAAGGAGATATTTGAGATAAGTGTTTCAAGCACTCAGTGGATGGGCCAGCTTTGAGTCTCATGCCATGTTGTCCTCTAGAGTCTGGAGGCTGTTGCCAAATCCAGACTGTTGAAAGCAGACATGAAGCTAGTCCAGATGGCAGTCACATTCCCTATCAGACTGGAGTTGTTCATTCCAGTTCTGTTGCAGCAGAAAAGCTTCTAGAGCTAATTGTGTGTGCTATTTAGCTTACCAAGCACACTTCATTTCAAAATAGTACCATGAGCAAAAGGCTCATTACAGACACTCATTAAAATGTGCAACAATGCTGAAAAGCTTTTTAGGTGTTGCCTTGATAATCATGTTTTCAAGAAACCTATTTTTAAACTGAACACTTTGTTCTGCGATTAACTGCAAGTCATTTTCCTCGTGCCTTTTAAATGGAAGGTCATTTTTCAGGACACTGGATTGTACTAGCATCCTGCGTAACAACTTGTCATTATATATATTTATCAATGAAATGCAAGCACTTAACATTTATTTATATATTTGTTATTGAAAAAAAGGTTTTGTAAATTGTTCTTCTAAATCTGAATTTATTTTCTACAGGGATGATATAGCAGATTTAGAAGAAGCCAAAAAATTATTAAGGGAAGCAGTTGTTCTTCCACTATGGATGCCAGATTTTTTCAAAGGAATCAGGCGACCTTGGAAGGTAAGAAACCTCTAGCTACTATTTATGTGTGTGTTGTCACTATGAATATATACTCATGCATAATATTGTAGTATATATTCAAATATTTCCTCTTGCCGTAAATCTATACCAATTTGGGGTGCATATTAAATGTGATCTTTTGTATTACTTTAAAGAAAGGAAATGAAATATTGTATGTTGGTTTAAAGAATTGAATCTGCTCATTGGGTATGATCAGATGATACTAAACCATCTTAGAAAATCTGTTTGAAGCTGCTGTTCTTCCTGTGATAGTATTTCTCCACATAAGTCTAGGATTTTGTTTATTTATTCATTTGCTGTGCTTATGTACTCCAGTTGCTGATGTCTCTGAGCATCATACATACTCATCCTCTGTAAATCAGGTACAAATTACAATACAACAATCAAAATATGTCTATAGATATAAACACTGGTAACATCAGTTACCCTGAACAAATAGCCCAAAGCCAGAGGGAGCAACATTAAAACATCCCAATGCCCAAGGCCTGCTAGAACAGCCATGTTTTAATGGCCTTCCTAAAAACCAATAGAATAGTAGCCTTTTGCATTTCAGGCGGAATTGTGTTTTATAGAAGGGGGACAGCAATTGAGAAAGCTCACTTCTGTGATCTTTGTTGCTGACATTCCTTGAGGGAAGACATACAGAAATATTATTGAATGGGTAGATACAGTTGGGAGTAGGTAGTCCCAAATACCAGGTCCTGACCCATACAAGGCTTCAAAGGTGCCACCCAGAACCTTGAATTGCATCTAAAAGCCAATCAGTAATCAGTGTAACTCACGAAGTAGTGGGATTATATGACTGAATTAAGATGTGCCCATGACTACTCAAGTTGCTGTATTCTGAACCATCTGTAGCTTCCAAATGTTCTTTAAGAATAGCCCAAATAAAGTGGCTGTACAAATCCAAGCAAGAGGTGACTAAAGCATGCGTGACTTTCAGGACAGCTCCTGCTCCAGAAGAAGTCTTAATTACTATACATAATGGAGCTGTGTGAAGGCTCTTATAGCCCCAAGCTCATGTGGTAAGGTCACCAGTATGGCTGTTTCTAAGATACCATCAGATTAGGCTTGGTGCTATGACAGCATTAACAGCTTTTCCATTGCCATTTACCTAGCAAATCTCATCCAGTGGATTTATTCCAAGTAATAAATGTCCTAATACCCTTCCCCCACACCATTTCTAAAATATGAGATATCTTTACTGCAGATGAATTTGCAAGCTTTTTTACTAATAAAATTGCTCATGTTTGATTTTATTTGGGAATTAGAACTTTATAGAGGTGGATGAAATTATGGGGCATTTTATAGCTCAAATGTTTTTATTTGGAACAGGTTCACTATCTGTTGAAATGAATATAGTTGGGGCTATGGTCATTATCAGTTAGTAATTTTCTTAGGAAAACTTTTTTGAGAGCTTTAATTCTGTGGCTAGTCACTCCCTGCCCCAAAAGAATTACGTTTTAATTTTAGATTGAATTATTGCTTTATTGGAAACCTTTCATTTTGGAGAATGTTGGTGAAACATGGTCCAAACATCCCTACCATTCATTTATCAGACTCCTGCTGGCCTAATTTTCAGCCTTTTTTAATTACTGCTTTTATTATCTGATTCTGTAATGGGTATCTCCAGCAGTCGAAGCTTCTAGAGATCCCTGATATACCAGAATACACACACAACTGACCTGTAAACTAATCCATTCTGCCTCTAGTTAGATAAGCCTATGAGGGTTAGTTGGCTAAATTTGAGCAAACACAATTTACCTCCATTTAAGATTAAATAGGTAGGAGTTTGCTGGGGCTTTTTCCTGTTTTGACTCAAAACAAATGTGGTTGCAAAGTGTAGAATCTAGTTATAGATGACAGATTTGGTGGTGTATTCCGGATGGAAGATGGAAGCATGCAGAATGTATAGCAATCTGTAAGTTTCCTGTATAACATGTTGTTTATGTGCCCATTTTGTAGTTTTACCATGACATCATGGAAGTGGGCTTGCTCTATAGATAGATTGAGGCTGAAGCCAATGGTGGGATGGAAGTTGTTGAAATCATGAAGAAATTTAACAGGATACTCATTTTCATAGGTCTAGAAGATTAATATGTCATCAAGGAATTTCAAGTAAAGGAGTGGTTTGGGGAATAACAGTTGAGAAAGTGTTGTTCTAGGTAGCCATGAAGATGTTTGCATATCTGGGAGCCATGCATGTGCCACTAATCTGCAGTTAGATGTTATGCCAAAGGTGAAGTAGTTATGGGTGAGTACAAAGTCATACAGTTTGGTAGCAAAGCATGCTGTGTTGACATGAATTATGATGTTCTTGATGGCTTGAAGTCTTTGTGGGGGATGTTAGCATATAGTATCTCAACATCCATGGTAGCTAAAATGGTGTTGTTAGTCTGCAATATCTCTTATGTAGTTGGGAATGCTACATAATGACCACTGCTCCTCCTTTGTTAGTTCGTTTGATTATGATGTTGAGGCCTTGGGTGGTATCTTGTTCTGCCCTGCTGAGATTTTTGAGTTTGTGGTTGAGTTCATTGGTGAAAACTTTCATTGTTGAGAAAAAAACCACATCTATGTCTGTGTGTATGTGTTTTTTTTAATGCATTTGTCATTTGAGGCGATCTGCAATTGTGTGTTTTTCCAGGATGTGTTGAGTTGATAGTGACCATATATCTATGTCTTGTTTCTTGTCTTGAAAGTATTCCTTATGTCTCAAGTGGAGAAAAAATGTTTCAATGACTGCACAGATTTGTATTTTTTATGAGTTAATAAGCCTTGTGCAAGAATGGACTCTTCAGCTTGGCTGAGCATGTAGCTGGACATATTCACATTGTTGTGCTAGGTCTGTAGAACCTTCCCATTATAGTGAATGGATGCCTATAGATGCTTGGATATTTTTTTCCCCTTCTTTTTCTTCCAGGAGGCAAGCTCTGTAGAAAAGGTGTGTTGCCTTGTCTTGGCAAAGTCCTGATATAGCTGGGTTCCACGGTAGAGATAGCATTGGTGATTAACTTTTGCTTGTTGTGAAGGATGCTAATTTAGGAGTTTCTTGGAGAGAATCCAAAGTATTGTGAAGGGACATGATTTTTGAATAATTGCATTTTGTTTTATTTATTTTTATAAGTCTTCTTTGTATCATTATTTTGAAATATTTTTCTCCTTAAGAAAGTACATATTTTGTAAACTTTGTTTTAGTTTTAACTAGCTCTTTTATTGTGAAAATGTATAAGTTGATAACAATGCAAAGTGTATTGTGATGTCAGTAACAGCAGCAAAACTGATAAGTGTGTGGTGTCTTTATTCATTGCTTTCCTTTTATGAAATAATGTAATGTTCTGTAATTAAGAACCTGGTTTTACACAGAAGTGGTTAACCTTTGCTTTATGAATTATATGTGACTTTTCAACAGTTCTAAGTATGCACTGATGAACAGTGTGAATGAAAAAAAAAGATAAAGGATGATCATTAAATGTTAATTCTAAGCATTCATGAGCCATATTATATAACAGACCAAGATGAAAAATTTACTTTGTAATGTTAGAACAGGGAAACTTTAAGGATTATAGTTAGAGCAGCAGGTCCAGGCTGAAGGACAGATGGAATTAGCTCTTTGAGATCGACCATGTCAAGAAACAGACACCTCAGGGATTCCAGAAAAGCTACTCTATTGTTGTAGGGTATAATATTGAATTTTGAAAGCCTGTCCAAATTTCTCTCTGTCCCATCTCATATAAACAAAATCAAGGTGGGATTATTTTGAGTGCAATTCTCACACTTATTTCAGTCTCTGGACTGTGCAATCTCTTTTCCCAGTCTTCCTTAATAGCTTCTTCCTTCCTTCCCCCATCAATGTCTCTTTCATACCTTCTCCAAGGTAAATTCTAAATTCCTTTATAAGTTGGGGGCAAAAGAAGAAAAGAAGTTTAAATCATGAGTTCTAACCTTTCTGAACCAATGGATATACATGGAATTTTGAAAATTTCTGTGGGCACCCTCACAAAATGACTACTGTGGTGGATTTGTTCATAAAGCACACATTTAGCAAAAGAAAAATCTTCCTCCCAAGATATTCTCTATTACTCTTTTTTTTGGCAACCAGCTGTCTAAAAGAAGTCTAAACAAAACAGTAAAATCAGATGACCTGTGCGGTCTGGTAAGAACTAAGGAAGTATTGCTAGGCACACTGGTACTGTGCTGGGGACATGTCATTTAAAACATATAATAGTGAAGCTCCCCAAGGCAGGCATAAACTAGGCAGAATTGTCCCGGAGACTTGAACAACACAGTTAGGAGCTCCATCTTTATTGTAATTCAGGAATGGAAACTATTGCAGTCAGCTAGTCACACTCCCCTGAAGGAGTCAGTTAAGGTATAGATCTAGTCGGTAATGGCAGAGGACATGGAAGACTGCACCCTCTACATTTCATTAGAATTCATAGCCCCAAAGGAATCCGAGCTAATATTGCAAGATGTCCCCCCCCCCCCCAGTCTCTACAACAGTCCCTGCCCATGAAAAGTCAAACCAAGAGTCAGGGCTGGTTGGGAGCAATCACATCAAGAGCCTAGATCATCTCCTGTTACAGGCAGCTCACCAGTCATTCATCAGAATAACTGACTAGATTGCTGGGAAATCCCTTGAGCACTTGTTGAATCCATCCATTTCCATAATATGCCTGGTGTGGACCATCTTAATCAGTCTGTTCACCCTACAAGGGACCTGGGTGACAGTCTTATCTAAACCAGGAAATTATTTAACCATACCAGCGGGCTAAAAGAGATGCCAACCATATCAAGATAATATAACAAGTGCTCTGAGGCAAACATGAGCTCTAAATTATAACTGCCTGGGTATGATGGGCCAAAGATTACCTATGGTTAGTCTTTCTTCATGGGTGGAGGCCATGAAATCCCAGCTGCTCCAGTTCTAGCCCCAGTGCATGGAGATTAAAGTCATCCAACACCCAAAGGTGATGGAACTTCAACACCAGACCTGAGATTGAATCCAGGAGCCTGAGTAGGGATCCTGCATGGCAACAAGGCAGCCAGTACAAGAAGTAGGATTTTAGTTGATATTTCTTTTAAAATTATAAGGTGCATATAGTTGTGCCTCTGAAGAAAGAGCTCTGTAAAATTTAGAAACTGCCAGGACAAATGATGCAGCTCTCTCACCCATCTCAAGGGTTCAGACTCACATTGTCTTTTCTAGCACATCCAGTTCTTGTATCACAAAGTAAAGAGTACTGTGCTTGGTCATTAAATATATAACAGGCAATCAATGTAAAAATGCTTGCAGTGCTGAAGAAGATGACCTGAAACACTAATTTTTTACAGAAAGATGTGTTGTAAATGAAATAAATAAATTATTGAAAATGTGCAGGCAGTTCCTTCTGTGAGTAGTAATAATCAAAGAAATTCATTTGCCCGGTGTTTAATTGTCTAGGTTTTGTTCACAAGGCAAATGGAAGCAAGCTCCTCATCAGGATCCAGAAGTGAGAATGTTTATTTAAAAAGATTCATATGGCCACCCATCTTGTGAGACACAACTCTGTAATAAAAACACAATAATAAAAACAATACAACAGAAATAAGAAAAGTCAGGCGCTCAGTTCAACAACTGCATCTATCTAGCAATACAGTCCCTTGGGCTCTAACCTTGCTATCTCAGAGCCTGGGGGAAAAGCCAGCTTTTAATAGCTTTCTGGAAGGTTAAGAGGGTGGAGGGCCTGCCAGATCTGAAAGAGAAGGGTGTTCCACAGGGCAGGGGCTGCTGTGAAAAAGGCATGCTTCCTAGGTCCCACTAGAGGGCAACATTTGAGGGAAGAGACCTGGAGCATGCCTACTTTATCTAATCTAGTGGGACAGGCAGATACCCTCAGAGAGGTGGTTCCTCAAATAACCTGGCCCTGTGCCACGTAGGGCTTTAAAAGTGATAATCAGCACCTTGAATTGCACCCAAAAAGAAACTCCCCCTCTGAACCCTCACAGCCTCTAGGCACTGGATCAGCACTGAGACAGCATCACCTGGGTATCATCACTGGGCATCATCTGTGTACTGATGATGTTGAACCCCGTGCTGTCAGATGACCCCATCCAATAGTTTCATGTAGAGGTGTCCAACATTATAGTGGCCTAGGGCTGGACTTCTCCCATCCCACCAACACCAACTGGTACCGACCACAGAGGAAGGAGGAGAACCACTGCAAAGCACTGCCTTTCACTCCCAATCCCTGCAGTCGGTCCAGAAGGATACCATGGTCAATGGTATCGAAAGCTGCCAAGAGATCCAGGATATGCAGGATTTGTAGATAGTCAAGCCACATCACATCATTGTTTGAGAAGGCCTAAGTTTGAGAATCCACAATTTAAGTTATGCCTAGATGAATTTAATTGCACTACATTGTTATATGCTTGCACCAGGCTTGTGGTTTCTTCAGTTGTTTGGATTTTTATTTCAGGGAGTGCTTATGGTTGGCCCTCCTGGGACTGGTAAAACCATGCTAGCAAAAGCTGTTGCTACAGAATGTGGAACTACATTTTTCAATGTGTCTTCTTCCACCCTCACATCAAAATATCGAGGCGAGTCTGAAAAGTTAGTTCGTTTGCTGTTTGAAATGGTATGTATTGTTGATTCCCTCAGATATTAGATTCTTACTTATTTGCATAATTTCTTGCTAGCTGCTTTTCTTTGTAAAATGATCTCAGGGCACTCAATATACATTACAGTGAGTCTATTATAAGTGTCCATATTGAATTGGTTTGGGGATGATAAGTTAAATGGACAATATCACCAATTTCCTGCATATCTATGCCTTAACCTGATATGTAATTTGTTTTTGTGCATCCATAGAACATTCCTTAAAATTATTCACAACTGCCTTTGATTTAGCAAGAAATATACAGGGTTATTAAGAAAATTTGTTGGCAGTCTATCTTTGTTAAATATGACTGTAATGCTGTGGGATGTTTCATATGATAAAATAAAAAACTTATGAATCCCTAAGTCATGTAAGAAATGGTTGTCTTTGTTTCAAGGCCAAGTTTTATGCACCTACAACCATTTTCATTGATGAAATAGACTCTATCTGTAGTCGCAGAGGCACTGTGGATGAACATGAGGCAAGCCGCCGAGTCAAGTCAGAACTGCTGGTTCAGATGGATGGTAAATAGGGTTTGTTCTGCCTGCATTGGAGACTCTTCTTCCTGTTTTATATGTTGTTGTAGGATAGTTTCATCAAAGGAGGGCAGGCAGTTGAAAAGTAACTTTTTAAAGAAAAAGCTCCATATCCTCATTCTTTAAACCTGGTTCAGGCAACCTTTGCACCCGGAGGCCACCTTTAAAAAGTCAACCTTTGGGGACTCTGAGAACTGCAGGGATTGCTGAGCTCCCTGAAGGGATGGGGCTGAAAATGTTGCCCTTTTTGGGGCATGATTTTTTTAAAAAGTTTAACATACAGGTAGTCCTTGGGTTTCGATGGCAATTGGGACTGGAATTTCTGTCACTAAGTGATATGGTTGTAAAGCCATCATAACCTTAGGACTGTATGGGTTGTTAAGCGAGGACTTCACGTGACTGCAACGTGAGAAGTGGCGGGAGTCCCAGGCAAGAAGGCCAGTGGGTGA